GTTTGTTCGCACAAGAATATAAAAACACACACACACACACACACACACACACACACACACACACAGGAAGAGTGTCCAGAGTGGAACGCCGGCAGAAATGGATGACTTTGTCAGCTGTATACTGTTAACCAGGTCATTTGACATTGATCTCTGCCTGACCTAGAACATCCCTCTGCCTCACACACACACACACACACACACACACACACTCCTCTCCATTTAGATATTCTTGCTTAACTGGAATGCATATTGTATGTTAGACAACCAATACTGTATCAGCAGTTTATTAGACAAGATGAATGTACACATGGTGTTTAGGTCTCATTCTTCAGCAGTTTTTCACAGGTGGAAACCACGTGGTGAGTTGAATTATCCAGAGAAGGTTTATTTCTACTGCCAAAACATTGTTTTAATTAAGGAAAACAACAGAGACATAGTTTATATGTAGCAATTAAGATAAACTCTATCACTATATCATCGTAAATCAATATATACAATTATTTAATAATCATACAGTATTATGCACATTAAAGAATAACTAGTTATACCTATAATTCACGAAATTAGAAAGATGTTTTAGCAACAGTTCAAAATGTTATATAAGCACCTTGTCTTTTCTCTGCCTGAACACAACTTAATGAGGACTTGGAATTTACTGGATGTTTGGTAGGGCATAAGTAGATGGTTAGCATGGTGTTTAGCATGGTTGCTAGGGTATCATTAGGTGAATTTCTAAGTTTACATGAAGGGTGGGAAACAGCATGATATAGCACATGCTGTGATCTCTACACTTGATGGACCTTCAAACTGCATTTAGGATGAGTAACACAACTGCCGGTTTCTGTAACCCCCTGTAAACAAGCAACATGTCCAGGCTGCCGAAACAGGATCAATGTACTGTAGTGCTTTTTCCCCTTATTGGTTATGTTCAAGTCATGCTAGTCTTTTGTCATAAATATGGCAGTCTCTCAGGACATTTCTAAAATTTACAAATTGATGAGGATCCTTGAACACTCCATTAAACAACTGGCCAAAACAGAATGTGGACAGTGAAGGGCGCAAAGGACATACCGTTTGTGTCATCCTAAGGAGGACAGTTGGACCAAAGACATTTACCTAAGGCAAATTGTTTTGGTGTCCAAGTTGTCTTTTTAGCCATCAAATCAAACTAAGTAAATAAATGTGTTTGCTAAGCTGATTGAAAAAAAGGGAACACTTAGGTAGTTCTGATTTCTTGAAGATAATCACATTTTCTTTGTCTTTATTCCTCCTCGGTGCATCTCTATCAGCAGTTTGTTTCACTCAGACATCTTCCTCAACAGGAAACACAGCCCCCCACCCCCACCCCCATTAGGGACCAGTGTCCGGTTACATTAATGTGTGTAAGTGCTTGCACATTTGTATGCCTGCACGAGTGTGTCTTCCTATACAGTAGCAGCAAGTTGCTGAGTAAGGGTACAGACCAAAAGAGAGACAAGTGCCTGCACACATGCGCATTCATAGGCATCTTCTCACACAGACACATACAAAGATACAGAAAGAGGTTCACATTACAGTCATGCAGGCATATTGTCACTGATGCCACTTGTCCTTGTGGGAAAAAAATGAATGAATGAGCATCTACCTCACTTCCTCAGTTTGCACATTACAACACAACAGAATATAAACTGCTCCACAACAGAGACACAGTATGGTTTGTAGTGATTCAGGAGTCAATGGTGCAACTACATCTCAAACAGGAGCAGTATTTGAATCCCTCTTCACTATCATCTATATAACACTCAATATTTTACTCTGTAGTAAGCAGCAAAACAAGAACTTTAAGCCATTAAGAACTTAAACAAATAAATTTGTGGAAATGTAGTGCACAAGTACAAAACTGAAAGTGATTTGGGACATGGCTTGTGTTAATGTAATGTCCGGTTAATGACTGAGTCAGCTACCTGGCAGTTAGCCAGCTAACTTGGCAGACAATCGAGGCTGACTAGCAGTAACATGCTCGACAACTATTTCCAGTAGTTACTACACCACTAAGCTTCCAGCACCACCTATTTTGTCAGGTAGCCCAAATGAATTTCCCCACAGAAAGAGGACAAAAGAATAATGTACAACCCGAACAGATGAAATTTAATATAATTGAATAAAAATGTTACATTTCTGTAATAATCTTCAGTTTAACGTTTCATTCCTAATTTCAAAACCAAATTATTGTACATAAAAGGCAGCACATGTTTAACTGGAACTGAAGTTCTTTATGTTGTACCAGTTTCACTCGCTTGTCGAAAGATGTGTTTTAAATCCAGATTAAAATATCATGTTTAAATTACATTAATAAACACTTGATTTAGGAACATTCTGCACTGGTGGAAGAAGTACTCAGATCCTTTAATTAAAGTAACATTACCACAGTCTAAAAATACTCTGTTACAAGTAAAAGTCCTGCATTCAAAATGTTAATTAAGTAATAGTACAAAGTATTAGCCTCAAAACATAAAAGTATTTATTATGCACAATGACACATTTAGCATTAATATATACTGTATTATTCAATTATATTTTGCTGATGCATTATTGTGTACATCACTTAATGTTGCAGCTGGTAATGGGGGAGCTAGTTTTAACAAGCTTATACAGTATGCTTATAAATTGAAGTATTTTACATACTCCTGGGTAACTTGTGAATTATCCACCAGAGACCAAAAAAATCTTATAATTATACAAAATTTTTTTACATTAAATCTGGTTCTGAAAAGTAACTAGCGACTCAAGTTATAAAATAAATGTAGTGGAGTAAAAAGTACAACATTTGCCTCTAAAATGTAGTGAAGTCAAAGTATGACGTAGCACAAAACTGTACTTAAATATAGTACTTGAGTAAATGTACTTAGTTACTGTCCACCACTGGACTTCTGCCCAGTCATGTCCATAAGGAGGAAATTAATCGAATTCAGTGATGGGAGAGAGAGAGAGAGAGAGAAAGAGAGAGAGAGAGAGAGAGAGCGGGGAAGGGAGGAGGAGGGGTGAATGGAGAGAGTGTGTGTGCGTGCATGTGAGAGTGAGACACACAGAAGCGAGTGCATCCAGTTCTCAGTCATTCATCTCTCGGGTAGAGGAGAGGAAACTTCAACAGGACAAAAAAGAAACTTTTTTTTTCTTGGGGAAAAAGATTTTTTTTCTGCGTTCAGTCTCGGACTTCGGAAGCCTCTGGCAGCAGCTTTCCTTTTCATCGGCGTTTCTTTTTGCACACTAAAATACTGTGCTACTGCAAGTATTTCACATCGCTCCGTCTGCTCTGTGTGGAGATACATCCACTTCTCTGTCCTGCAACTGAGGACGTTTTTCTTTATGAAAACTGCAGAAATAAAAATAAAACACCAAAACTGTGCCTGTTTTTTAACAGGACCTCTACATCAGAAGCATCTCTTGCAACTTGAATATCTACAACGTGTGGAACCCTTCGAAAGAGGGTATGTAGAAGGGACTGGTTTTGGGAGGTGGAGGAGGACGTGACCTCGGGAGGACACACGGGGATCTGAATGCTCCTGGCAGAGCTCTGGGAAGAGGAGGAGGCGGAAGAGGAGGAGGAGGGTGCATCGCACTGAGAAAGAGCATCCTCCCAGTCCTGTCACACAATTAACAACAGGGCTAGGTTAATCCTGCATCATTTCTGTAGGGAGAACCAAATAATTTAACAAAAAAAACCTCCTTGCAGTAACATAAAATAAGTTTGAAAGATAAATTAATCACTGGATTACAGAGAAATATCATGTTATTATAAGGATACTGTAGGAATATTATAGGAATATTACTGAGATTGTTTGCCAGAGGTGCCCATGCACACACACACACACCCACACACCCAGGACACCCCAACCCTCCGCAGCACCATGGATCTCCCACCAGTCAGAGGTAAGCACAAATTCATTCTGTTGCCACCTGATCTGCTAATGAACTATTGATGATGTGTGTGACCTTGGAACAAAACACTTCCATCAGGATTTTTCTTGAAAGAAGGAATTATTCAAAAAGGTTTTTATAGCTTTGCAAGCAACCTTTGAGTCTTGGAAGATGTTTTTTTTAAACTTAGTATTTAGGCAGCTATTGTAGACAGTCTTCAGATTTCATGTCCACTTGCTTTCCTGTATATGTTAGAATAATAGCATGCATGTAACTATCTTAGGAATTTGCAAAAGAAAAAAAAAAGTCATGTCATCTCAAGATAAGATGAACTTTTAAGTCTGCATTCATAAGAGCTGATATAATATATACCAAACAAGTGCACAGAACAGAGAGAATCGATTCAATCAGACCAAGCAGGTAAATCCAGGTGAACACTGTCGTGCCTTACTAGGCTGACTTTTTGAATTCTCAGTTGCCACGCACAAAAATTGGAGATAAAGAGCCGGACAGTATTAGTTTAATTCTTGATACAGTCAACCCAAATCAGCACCTGCTAAATATCTTTTCACTACATGATTGGTACCAAATTAAATTACACAGATGATCTCCAAATTCAGCAGTCCTACTCAGATATACTTCTGTCTTTGCCCCATTTTCCATCCCTAGTTTTGGTTACTGGGTGGGGAAACAGTCGAGAAAGGATGGTTTTAGTTTCAATGCTGTATCTCTTACATTCCATCAATACATCTCCATAAATACACATCATAGACGTATTGCAGTGTGTGTATGTGCATGTGGATGAGTGAAGTGACATGACGTGTCAACTGTGACCTCCTTTGCCCCTGGACAGATTAGTCCAAGTTATTGTTTTAGTGAAGGTGAATTTGTTATGGCAACAGATTATTTGTCTGTAATAACATGCAACTTGTGTTTTTACCGAGTTTTGAAGTAAGTTTGGTGACTTTAGGAAAACTCTTCTGAATCACTGAGAGGCCTGGGAAAGCACATTAATAAACAATCCTCTTGAATGAAACAGTCAGAATCATATTAATTGACTGTTAAGCTGTGTGTTAAAGGTGCATTTCAGCAGGTTATGTGTGTATATCTGTGCAACTGTGATGTGGACATGTCGGGTTCAGATTGATTGTCCTCAAGGTCGCAGGAAGAATGTCAATACCCATCTCTGCTGGGGTGGGACTGGAGGGGTGGGTGGATGAGAAAATGATGATGGGATGGACTGATGGGAGGGAGGGAGAAAGAAAGAAAGTGAATGGGACAAGAGGAGTGGTAGTATTTGGGGGAGGGACTGAGCAGAGATGGCCGGATGGAAGGGAGGGGATAGTATGTGTGGAACAGAGGACTATGGGGGGAGCGGTGAACCAAAGATAAAATAGATGGATGGTTAGCTGGACGGAGAGAGGGAGGAGATGAATGGAGATGGAGTTTTTTTATGCCACAGCAGAGATGTTAATGCACAGAATCACAAACTTGCAGACAGAGGGAAAATGATTCACAATAAAATCACTTTGTAAAAAAGAAACTAGAATTACCATCTTATAGTTGTAAGCCTCCACCAACCAGTCATGTTACAGTTTACACGCATGCCTGTCCAGATTCATATAATATATGTAGCAAAGATTTTGAAGGAATTTAATAAAAAAAAAAAAAGTAAGCATCTTAATTTGAAGGAATTCCCTCAAGGTGTTCCTTAGATATTTTCACAAGAATGGGGGGATGTGAGGTTACACTGACCTTGACCTCTGACCACCAAAATCTAAATAATTCATCTTTGAATCCCAGTGGACTCAAAGATGAGGAAGAAATCCCCTCAAGGCCTTTCTGAAATATCACGTTCATGAGAACAGGACGGATGTACGGACAACCCAAATCCATCACGGCTGTCGCTGAGCGGAGGCATAAAAAAGACAAAAAGCCCCATCTTAGACAACTAAATTTAATATGACCGACAAGTAATAATCATTGATTTTAACTACAGTCTTTGTTTTTATAAACAAATCCTGGTTAGGATTTTAAAAAATGTGCTTCTGTAAGAACATTAAAAAGCTTAATAAAGAGTCCAGGGTGCAGCTTAAACTTCAAACCTGTAATGAGGCAAGTGCTACTCCAGGACTTTCAGATTAGATGTGGCCTAATGCTCAACAGGGTCTATATTTAGGAAAGTGTTTGATGGACAGGTCTCCTAGGCTACAGTACTGATGGTGAGAGCACCTAATTTAAAAAAAAATGAAAAAGAACAACTTTTTTTTATTGCAAACTGAACTTTATCTGCAGGTGACATCTGTTTTCCACTATTTCTATTGTGCCTTTTAGGTGCATAAGGGTTTAAGCGGACTTTAAAAAAAAAAAGTCCACACCACAGCGTTATGGCAGCACAGTCTTTAGATAAACTTTATCAAGTGTTTCAATTACCACAGTTCAAAACTTCCATTTTTTCCAGTGTTCAGTATCATCATCCCTCCCTCATTCGCTGCCCCTTTCCTTCCTCTTCTCTTCTCTTTCTCCTCTTGTTCTCTGCCACCTCCCTCCATGCCTCCCCACCCCCCACCCGGACTTGCTGGTCTGCAGTGTCTATTTCAGTCTTTCCGTTGGGGTCAGATTCAGCACATCCGGTATCTCATCCAGTTTACTGTCATTCAATCGTGTTGTGCTCCCAGAGGGCATTGGGAGGAAGGCCCCTGGGTCTTAGTGCCTGATGGGCCTCACACAAACACACACACACACACACACACACACACAGTCATATGTGCAGAAAAGCTGGCGGCACTGTAATCAAATGTTTTGACCTTGTGAGTCTGATTTTATTTTTTAACTTGACAACTTAATTTTTTTTAATTCCTTGTATTTTTTTTTTTACCCAATTTTATTTTATGTGAGTATGAAAATCCCGCGACTAAGCGGTAGAAAATGAATGATTGAATGAGTATGAAAATACTTTGTGATAACTTTACACAAGAGCGATGACCACTTGTCCATTACTCCTGTCAAACATGTCTATCACACTCTATCAAAAATTCTAAATGTTTATTCCTAAACATTCAGTCACTGTTTTCATTTCTCTATATTTTTGTCCTCCCCAGGAACACCTCTGAATATAATGCAGTCCAGTACAACACCTCCTTGAACTATGAGCTCAGTAATATACATTTATGACAATTTCACCAACAACTGAAACAGCTGAAGCTTCATAAACAGATGTTAAGGCGGAAACGCTGCATTGAAATACATACAGTTGTACAGGTGACTCTTAAAGTGGCTGGGCAGTGTACTACAGAAGAATGTCATTATCGCCTATAATAATGACTGCAAATCACTTGTCAGTAAAGCATTTAAGTGTGTATATTTCTTTTCTTACTATTCACTGCAAACAAGCTATAAATGATAGTAAGAAGACCGGTCCAACGTAGCTTATTGAAGTTGTGAGATTAGAATTCAGACTGGACAGTATGGCAGCGAATACAGCACCATATTTCCTTTTCTTCCTTCATTCATACAATTCTACATATCTGAGCTCATCAGAGTTTGGGTACTTCAATTAGTGTAACATAACCTCTGATGAAACCAGAGCAGAACATTGCTCTGTTAATTAAACAGACTAGTGTGTTTCCTACCACTTATGCTGCGTAAATGGACTGTACTGGTGTTTGTACTGGACTCACTGGCTGCTGCAGTCCTGAGTCCATTTCTACTGCTCCTCCTCTCTGTTTGCTGAGCTGCTTCTGCTACAGTAGATGTAGCACTAGTCGAAGCATTTAATATTTTTTTAAACTTCTTCTCTGTGCTATTCAGCCACACTTACTTTTTAAAAATTGTGTTAGTCATGTAAAGTGAGTCAGCAACAGCCCACTGCTGCTGCCCCAGTGTTTAAAGATGATAAACATACCACATGCATCAAGATAATAGAGCCTGTCTTTATCCCTCTGACCTGCTGGCTTGGTTTGCTAAATATTAAAATTGTATCACCATTCTGGGAAAAATCACCTCCTGAATTGATTCCATGTCCGACAGAGCATTTTATTTAATGATATGGGGCAATCCTGTACAGTATTAAGGGATGAATGGCAACTCTAGTGGTGCTTTTTTAAATGTAGGAAGAGAAAGAGGTGCGGCCTTGCGTGGTTGCTACCTTAGCCAGGCACATTCAGCACAGCTCCTGCCATGCATCTTCTTGTCTAAAACCAAATAGGTTCCAGACAACAGACAAACTGTTTCACTTCAACACTAGTGTCGCCTCATGCTCATTGATCCTTGGGTTTGCTACTGCTGAGGCCATTTTCAGTCTCATTTCCTCCACAGATTTCACACAAAGCCCTTTCTAACGGTTTAGAATCTGCAGCATTAAAAAGAATTTTTAATCACAGTTTTCTATTAAACTGTAATATCAATTTGAAAACAATTCATATTTTTGCCCTAGTCCACACCTTACACTGGGTCCCTTTCAAAGAAGCATAAATCCAGATGTAATCAATCGTAATCCCCATAATAAGATCTAACCAAAGGTGCAGCATGTACATGCGAGAGCTTAGAGCTACCACTGTTATGTCTAGAGTTGATGGAAGGCATGCTTCTTTTTTAACATTGTTAAGCTCACTGGCAAATTGACTGGACAGAGATTAATGAAATTAATACTGATCTTCTCATCTGACAAATAAGTACATTTCCCAAAATATGTTTTTGGCCTTATTCATTTACTGCAGTAGCCAGTGCTAAGGTACACGTGTTTTAGTTTTAGGCAGAGCGGTTGAAAAAATGAAAAATAACTGGCCAAAACAGCACAGAAGAGAAAGAGAAGTGAGGGGAGTAAAGGACAGGATGAAAGAAGAGAATGTGGCAAGAGAAGTCAAGTGGTTAAGGAGAAGGGAGGAGAGGAAGACAGAAGAAAGGAAATGACAACCTCTCCTCATTCCAAGGTGAAGGGTCACTGCAGTCAGTTTTAAAATAACCTGAAACCATGATGTCATCAGTGAGAGATGCAGCAATGCCCTGTCTATTAAACTAGGTTGAATCCAGACTCAGTAGAAGTCCACAAGGTAGCAGACAGACAATGAATCAGCATTACTTTGACATCTCAATCAGTGAGTTTTTAACCCATAACAACTCCAACTTTATCTTGTAGCTCCTCAATTGTGTCATAATGTTCACAACACTGTCAACTTTGTACATTTGCTTAACTGTTTGTCTTTTATGTTGTTCAAAATAGCCAGAAAGTTAGCATTTTCAGTACCTGCTTAAACAAACACAGAAAAAACATCACAGGAAAACAAGACACGTCTTCAGCCATGCTAGCAGCTCTGCAATGCCAAAGAGGGAGACAGAATTATTGTGTTAAGTATTGTAAAGGGATCTGAGAAGTCATTGTTAAGACACATTCTTAACTCATGATTATTGGCCTTTTTGTTCTGCATGCAACAACTGCACTCATGACAGCACATCAGCTAAAACCTGGTAGTATAATGGCTGACCAGACAGCAGAAACAAGGTGCATAAGGTGTGCGTTTTTGTGCATAAGAATGGTAAAGCAGATGTGTACATGTGTGTCTGTCCCAGGACAGAGGCCCAGTCATCACTGATACTCCCCGAGCACAGAGGTCCATCCTCAGGTTACCACTGTGAGCCTCTTAAAACACCAGGTCTCTGTGACTGTTTTGCTCTCAGTTTGGTTTGCTTCACTGTTACACACAATATTTAGAAAATTCATCCCAGGAAACAAATGAATGTAAAAGCGACAAACTATAAAACTATGGCATTTATTTGTTGCCATGTCCCCTTCTCTATCTGGCACTAACAAATCATAACATATACAGTATACACAGTGAGATATCATAGCAACTCGGTTTCTCTTGATTCTGCACAATGACACAAATTTTCTTTAACATGTCAAGGTGCTGTTGGGCACTATTTAAAAAAAAATCCCCCTTCTAAGTAAGATTACCTACTAAATAAAACCCACACTGTACTGCTGGTCGCAAATGGTCAGTATTTGCCACAAAATTTGCATTGTTTTCCAGAATCTACATTTATGGAGACATCAATGACGAGGAAAATTAGATCCAAATAAAAATGGAGAGATTCTATGGCTTTGGCTGATAACATATTTGCCAAAAGACCCAAGTAAAAAAGTGCCAAATTTTATTTTTTGAAATGCAATTTTACCTTGGAAAAGAAGAGAGAAACAAATAATAGTTCTAAAAATGTTGTTTATCATGGAACAAACAGCAAGACTAAGTTGTTTTTTTTTTCATGTGAAAAAAAAATGAATGAATTTTCTGAGACATTTCTAACCAGTAATCACAGCAGAAACAAAATCCCCTTTTCAGGAGTAATTCAGCAAAATAGCTCTTATGTACATTCATGAAATGACTGACCAGTGCTGGGCACCAAAAATGTTAGAGTGATGGCATATAGAAGTCATCATCAAATGCCTGGTCAGATTCATTTCTAAAGAAATTGACACCATTATCAAAAAATTCAGTGATTCCCATTCCAGCGGCTAATAGCATGAAATAAAACTGATATGGACCACTTTTAATTGGCAATTAACTTCAAGTTATTCCAGTGTTTAAACAAAAAAATATGCATGGGCGGGGTGCCACATAAACATTCCAGACACACAACTGGAATGGTTAAAAGTTAAGTCTAAATATATATGAACTGCCACTTTATAAAATTACATTGTGTTTGTAAAACATCTGCAGTTTGTGAGATTTGATCAGACAAAAGAGTGAAGTACACAACTTGATGGTTTGCTCCCCTCCACTGGAAGATGGTGTTCCTAGGAACCATGTTTGGGAAGTCGCCTATCCAAAATCCTCACACATTATAAACAATACAGCCCTGAGCTCCACTTGTAATGTGAGATGGGAGTGTGCTGCCTGCCTCACCCTCTGTCTTCACACACACACACACACCTCATCCCAGCTATTGTTGCCAGAGGACTGACTCCACAGCAGAGTCAGACTGAGCATCACTACCCAAAACAACTTGAACTCTCAGGGTGGCCAATTAGTGCAGACCATTCAGGTCATGTGCTGATGAGACAGGTGTTATGTTCCTCCCCACTACTTTCAAACTGGTATTCACACTGGCTCAAACACTAAGTAAAAATGAGGTCATGGAAACAGATGACAGGCCTCTGTTTTAACAATTCGATGGGCTGATTGGTGGGCAGTGCATGAGCAAGCCGTGGTCACTGATCTCCCTGATGAGATTAGTCACCAGGACTTCTCCTCTCTCCTTGGACTAATTTGAAAATGCATCCTCATCTAACCGACCTTGTCCTTATCTGCTGTTTTATGTCTGGACCCTTGGAGTGTTCAGAGATAAATACAAAGAAGCTGATGGGTAGAGTTCAAACATCTCTCCTTGGAAAGCCTAGAGGACAGGAAGAGATTTTGTTTTGTTTTGTTTTGTTTTTTGTTGTTGGAGTCAGGCTTGCTAATCACCTCCTCTTTCTGTCTCTCCCACTGATGGATTGCCATTCTTGGGTTTCATCTGCCTCCCCCATCCCTACAGTAATTCTGATAGCTCCTCTCCTATTCCTTTGGCATTGCATTCTCCAGAACCCGCTTGTCCTTTTTCTACTTTCTATATTTAACTGTCTAGCTGCATGTAACAGGGCAATAATAAAGTGTAATCATTAATTGACATTCAATTAAAAATTATTTGATAATAATTTTCACATTTTATACAATTACGTGACCACAATAGTGATTTGACCAAATTTAAATAAAAAAAAAAAAGCACCTCTTGTGCAAGACTGTGACCTATTGTACATTAAAGTTACTCATTTCACTCATCTCTCATAGATTCCAAGACATTTAAGTGTAGCAGGTCGATAATGACTTCACAGATTGACAAGTAGCAACATGATATTTCATCTGATTACATTTGAAAGTAGTAGTTTTGGCAGCTGTTTGGAACAGACTGTGCCGTCACCAAGAGTGAGGAGACATAATATTGTTATAGGGATAATGGTGCATGATTCTGAACAATCTTTCATTATATGCATACACACAAAAAATGACAAATGTTTAAATTACTCCTACTTCTCACATACACACACCTGCCTGATCGCTGCATGAAGTGGGTGTGAATGTGTGGATCCATGTGGATGTGGCCTGAGATGTTTTTATGCTGCTGCTCTCTGTTACAGTACCTCTCCCCTCTATCTTATCTCATGATCTGAGCTGCTTTAAATGCATTTCCATTTGGCCTCATTACTCTGTGAGAGTACCAGCCCCATGTGAGGAGAAAGCCAGCTTTCTCTCCCCCTGGGTCACTTGGCAAGACTACGGTTTCTTTGTGAATGTAAAGCTAATTGTGTATTGGTGTGTGTATTTGTCCTCCATAGCCTTAGCGTAACCATGCAGATACTTTTGTTTTTAAGTCCTAAGGTTTGAGATATTGTATCTGTCTGTGAGATATAAGGCTGCAGGTAGTGATACTCAAACTAGTTCAAAACTTCAACAGGTGGGAAAAGCGACATCCTTCACAAGCCAAAATTCTGTGTACTTAACAGGTTTTTCTAAAACAGGGAATTAGAATCAATCATGTGACTTTACTTTTCTATTAGATCATCAGTCGCAAGCTTGACCATGCTGCCAACCTCTTTGTCTGCAGGTGGGATTCTTCTGAGGCAGCAGCAGTAACTGTGTTCAACAAATGCTACATTACAGTGAAGACCTCATGGTCATATCTTTCTGGCTCTGGCAACAGTGCTACAATTCTTGACTTTCCGAAAATATCTAATATACAAAAGCAGAGACTACGGGTGTAATGATACAGCCAGCTCACAATTGGTTCATTAGACAATACAGGGCTTATGGTTTGATGCTCTCATGACACATTTAACAAAGGAGAAGGAAAACAAACTGTCAGTGTGATTCATTCTGTCTTAGCTGTGTAAATTAAAAATGTTTTAAGGCATTTGCTTTTTGCAGTTCTTTCTTATTCTGTAGCTCGGTGTAAAATGCAAAAATTAAATCTCAAAATCTAAATAAATACTCTTTAAAAAAAAACAAGCAGATCTTAAAAATAAATATGAATAAAACTATAACAGAATCCCCACAGTGTATCAACAATGTCCTCATAATGATGAAGAATAAATGTATTAACTTTGGTTGACAAGCAATTGCCCAACCAAAATTACAAATGTGGCAAGGCCACAGAACCTTGTCGACCGCTGTCACAGAAACTCATATTTGCAGCCTGGGACAATGGCAGGTTTTGTTTTTTTAAGAAAATAAGCATGTCAACATTTTCAGGCAGAGGTTGAGACCTGTGGCAGCTCATGGTTGACAAAAACATGCTCACTGGAACTGAGGCAGCAGGAACCACGAGATATGCTTTTGGCATGGAATAAATGTAAAAGTTGTGACCACTGAAACCACTGGCCTCATGTCTTTAGCAATAAATATGCCAATGCTTTGTGTTCTCTCTTTGCCACACTGACTTGGTGCCAGAAGCAGCGATGCAAATGTCTTCAAGTGTTTGGCCTTTGTCAGCGGTGTTTCCTATCCAATGTGACAAACGAACTACAAAATTACTGAATCAAGTGTCACCTTTGTAAAGGAGCAGTTGCAGTTTTGATTTTTAATAATTAGCAAAAATTTCTAAAAACATGTTTTCACTTTATCATTATGGGTTATTGGAAAGTGATGGGCAATTTTATCAGTTTTAAAATTGAATCTCTAACAGGGGGTCTGAATACTTTGAGGTTACTCCTTATTATGATATGAAATTTGATGATTATTGAAAATAAAACATCACTAACCACTATCACATCATTTCTCTGTGTTTGCAGGTTTATCTGATGTGCCGTGAGCGTTGGGTGCACCTTGCCCCAGCCCCGGCCTGCAGCCCTAGTTCCACCTGGCCTGTCTTCCCAGGATGGATCCTGCTCATTCCATCAGGATGGAGCTAGATGGGCGGGACCTCCAGCAAGTCTCAGTGCTATCACTTGACCAGATACGCATTATCCGGGCCAAGAATGACTATGTGGAGAGGCCCGTCGCGCTGGAACCGGCATCTCAGTCTGGATTTTTTTATGCCCATGATGACCGTTACCCTCATGGGGGGTACACACATCAGCCCTCCTTCCGCTCTGCCCTTCCCCGCAGCCAAAGTCAGCAGCAGCATGCTCACCTGTCCCACCTGAGCCGTTCCAGTACCATAAGCTCTTCCATGTCTCGGACCAGTGCCACCTCAGACCAGCGGTTGCTGGCGGGTTTGACACCATCTCACTCTGGTCTAAGTTCAACAGTCCATTCTCAACCAAAAGGAGAGTTCAAGCCTGATTCTTCCTTGGGTAAAGGCCTGACAGAGGATGAGGCTGAGCTGGGCCTTCATTTGTTCATTTGTGAACGGTGTGGCCGCTGTAAGTGCCAAGAGTGCTGTGCCCCTCGCCGCCTGCCTTCCTGTTGGGCCTGTGGACAGCGCTGTCTGTGCTCTGCTGAGAGTGTTGTGGAGTACGGCACCTGCTTGTGCTGTGTTAAAGGCTTATTCTATCACTGCTCTGCCCAGGATGACGAGGATAACTGCGCTGACCGGCCATGTTCCTGTGCTCCAGCCCATGCCTGTGCCCGCTGGGGCACGATGGGGCTGCTGTCGTTTTGCTTGCCCTGCCTCTGCTGCTACCCCCCTGCCCGGCTGTGCCTTGCCTTGTGCCAGTGTGCCCATGACAGGGCCACGCGCCCAGGCTGCAGATGCAGCAACACCAACACTGTGTGCCGCAAGATTTCTGCTTCTAACCCTAACCCTGGCCATCCCTCGCTCCGCAGCAAAGCTCTGGAGAAGCCGTTATGACAGGCTTGGATGGAAGCCAGGCAAATCCATCCTCCCTTAGCTGTCGCCAAAGCAACCCTGTCGTCAGTCAGCATTGCCACAGCTGACATTGTGACCCACATACCATGACAAGCCAACCAACCAACTGTGTCGTTCACCTAATGTACCTTGAATTTACTTCTCCAGCTCAGGAGTGACCAAAGCTTTATTGTGCCTGTTAATGTTGGAAACTTCATGCCTAACAACAAAAACTCACCCTGAAGAAGTAGTGGTTGTACTTTGCTGGACTGTCTTTGACCCTTAACCAAGACTTTCAGACAGAAATCACCACTCTCTCTGTGGTGTAATCTGAGCATCTTTAAATCTATTTATTTATTTATTGCCGAACCTCTTTCCTCCCCACCCTTTGCAAAGAGAACGCACAGAGCACAGAGATGGGCAACGGACCAAATCATGAAAGAAAGACGCCTGTGGCATGATGTGTATGGTCTACGCCAACAGAGTCTCTTTCATCTAAAAAGAGAGAAGCTGCATGAGAGAATTTTGACCAAAATGACATTCACCAACAAAAGGCTGAAAAACACCAACTAAAGGCTGAAGATGAATAAATGAAGAAATGGTTATGCTACAGAATACGTTACTGGGATGGCATGAAGTGAAAACAGAAACAATCATAACACACCTACAACAGTTTCACACCAAAAAGGGACCATGCACTATACAAACTGAGTGAACTTCACTGCTATTAAGCTCATTTGTAAAGGAAAAGCACTGTGAGGTAGATGGACAATTTTTTCCTCGGCAGCCAAGAGCTGATTGGGGGATTATTTAATCAGAAGGAGGGTGCATCCATTGTGACTAGGCTGTGTGTGTGTGTGCGTGTGTGTGTGTGTGTGTGTGTGTGTGTGTGTGTGTGTGTGTGTGTGTTCGTTTGCGCCCTATTATATGGCAACCTGTGTGTCTGTGTGTTGTTTTGTCAGCAGAAGAAGCCTCCCTTATCTTATTTTTAGTAATGCCGCTTCAGTCGAGCTCTGAGGGTTCGGTCGAGTTTCCTCTCAAAGCGGGTCTGTCGCCAGCCTCTCTCCTCTGACCAACTGCCTTCACTGCTCCCACCTCCATCCCTCTCTCCTCCTCTTCTACACCAGTTAATCCACCCCTCCATTCTCCTCCCATCCTCAAATCAAATGCTCCATCACTCTCTGAACCTGAGAAAAGTTGTAGATAATCCAGAGGACATGAGAGCTCCTAGGGAATCATACCGGATGCCGCAACACTCTACAACATGTTGTTCATAGGACAGAAAATTAAACATTCTCAGTAACTGACAAAGAAATATGAAATTTAACTGATAATGCATCCCTTCCCTCTCATCCAGTATTTTCAGATCAACATTGTGCAAAATGCAAAACAAATTACAATGAAGTAAAACATCCCAACCAGCAAAAGCAGGCACAAGGCATATTATTACCTCACACCCATATACTGTATCCCTCCTGCCTCATCTGTCTTTCCTCTTACGCTCAGAGGGCTAAAAGCCTTCAGGTCTCGGTCCATAGAGAGTTGATCAAACAGGCAATTAGCTTCATGATAGCTCTTAATGGGCCGGAGAAGAATGGACAACGGGAGGGAGGGAAGACAGCGGACAGGATGAGTGGAGTTGTGGTGTTTGGCAGATGGACAGCTGATGTGGAGAGACGGGTGCTGAGAGGAAGGAGTAAAGAAATGTACGATGAAGGGAAGGAAAGAGAGGATGCTGATGCTGTCATAGAGTCAGATGGAAAAATTGAGCAGTGTGACTATTTTTCTAGGTTAAAATGATCATTGCTTCAACTGAGCGTATTCAGCATTTACACAGTTTAAATGTAATGTCAAACATCAAGGCAACAGCAGGGCATGGCTTTTCTAGAAAGAAAGGACTCAAAGCTGTTTTAAAATAAAAAACACACTGTATGTTGTACACATGGGTACACATACTGTATGTGTTAATGTTTGAATGCATATGAGCTTTTCTGTGTGTGTGTGTGTGGGTGAAAGTGTCAGGATGTGTCACCTAAGCACAGACACACACACTGACCTGATTTGTTAAATGTTACTTTGCTATATTTTTATATGTAAATATGGGCTATGAACTGTACAACTATTTTTATTCTGCTTCATTTCGTTTCTATGAGATTGATCTTATTACAGCTGTTTTCCTTATTTTTTTGTCCACTTGTGATCAACTCAGGGACTTTTGGGGCAACTTAGGAAACTCTGAACAAGGATTTAGGAATGCATGTTAGCACTGATTACAGTATCACGTCCCTCAGTATAGTTCAATATTATGGCTTGGTTTTGAACCTTTCTGAGCCCAAGCTATGTCTTTAGCATCAACTAACAAAAGCTACTGTTTTCAATATCATTTAATGTTCTTTCTGGGTCAAAAGAGAATAAAACTAGGTCAAAACATTTTTGCTGCATGGAACAGCTTGATACTCTTCAAAAGTAAGGCCTGAGCATGCTTCAAACAAAGCCTAGGGGTGTAGATCATCTAACAGCATCTGAAAACCTCTTTCTAATGGAGTAACCTTCCGAAAAAAGATAGTCCAACAATTGCATCAACCTTTTGAAACCAGACAGAGTAACTATTTTTTCATTGTATATGTTCATTCATGCAAATATGTGGATGCTTTTAAGGAGAGGCTATTCAAAATATCTCCATGTGTATGATTCATCCAAGCAAGACAACAAAGAGTTGCAAAAGTGGCATCATTCTTGAAAAACAGATTAGGAGGGAGTGGGAAGCAGCAGGCTTTTTGTCCTGCCTCTGAGTGTATGGGTATAAACACTTGCCATGTTGAATGAACTAGTATGTTTAAGCATACTTAACGAGGCCTTACTGGCAGAGGATATTGTTGTTAAGTGTGAATGTTACCCCAAATGTCTCTGTGCTCATCACTGGTTTCACTTTGAGACGGGTTGGCAACTGAGGAGAACAGGTTCAAATATGACTTTTTTTCCCCAACTTTTTCCATCTTTACCTACAACATTAAAATGATAATAATGAATATTATTATTATTATTATAGGAAGTATTGGAAACCAACAATCACAGTCTATGTAATTCACACCTATTAATGCAAATCACCTACTGTAGGGTAACATTATGTCCAAATTAAATTTGAAAACCTTTTTGGCTTTTCATCCACACTTAAATGAGCATTTTCAACCACCCAAATCAGAACAAAATATTGTTTTTAGACCAGTCTGGAGAAACTACAGTAAGCTTTTCCAAAATGCTGATGTATGCTTGTCATGGGAGCCATTTATGATAATCTACTGGCAAAATCTGCATGCATGCTCTGTGAATGACAATCAATGCTTCAATAGGCAGCCAAAAAAAAAAACAAAAAACAACAACAATGAAAAAAAAAAAAACCAACAGACAGTTGCGGCCATGTGCAGATCATCATCATCGTCATCATCATCGTCATCTGCAATTGTCTTTAAAAAATAAATCAATGTACTTTTTATTTGTGGTGTTTGATAAGAGCGTGGAGAGGCTTTCAAAATGTTTTCAAATTTAACTTCATTTTTGTGGGCATGGCCTCAGATGCCCCCCCCACCCACACACACACACACACACACACACACACTCCTCTACGTTGGCTGGATGACTTCAGCCAGATCTTGGTGCTTGTGGAGATGAGTTGAGGAACAATTATTTGTACCCAGATTGTTTTCTATCTCAGCTGAATGATGCTATATGATGCATATTTTTGTCTGACTGTTCAGAGTAACTTTAAAATATTAGGCACAGTTCATTAATAACCTCTTTATTTTGCAACGTTTTGTAGGTACTACACATACACACAGAATCATTCAAGCGGTGCATTATGGGGTACAAGCCAAATCAATTTCCAGTGATTGTCATGTTAAATTGGTTATTTTCAAAACAATTTTTCTGAGTTGATTTTTTTAACTATCTTAAATTATTTTATAATGTATACGAGTGGTTTCTAGTTTTGATGTTTTGCTTTTAAAACTCTTATACAGAGCAAGCAAATGAGTTTTTACTTAAATGTAATTTTTTGTAGATTTACCAAATCACTTCTTTTTACAATTTAAAAAACAGCAGTATTATGGTTTAAAAAGGGACCTAGATGATGACAATAGAAAGTATTGTTTGTTATCAATAGATTAATTCATTTTGTGCCGATTTCTCTCTCACAAACATTCTTTGCATGCCAGTAATTTCTTTAGTCTCATTTTCTTCTGACTATGATGTGTGTATCTGTATATACAAATAAAACTACAACATATACATCTTTGAATTCCAAAATTTCACAAACATTTCCAACATTCCCTCCTCAGGACCAGAGCTCATGTCAGGAACCTGCCTGATGCTGTATGTACACAGGCTACCACTATAACCATTACACTTCTAATCTTGTGTCTTAGCAAGCATCGCTTTTGGTACAAATTGGCATCTTGTTTGTTGTAAAAGAATTTAAGGAGAGTATATGGAACAAATATATATATAAAAATCTATCTAAAATTAATATTATATATGGAACAATATGCATTTCACACTTTGATTCATTGCTAATATTGCTTCAAGGATATTTATTTAAATGGTTGCAACAATAGCATTAATAACAATCACGACGATGATGTTGATGAGTGAAGTATTTATTTGATAGTGGTCACAACCAATGTTGTTGTTTGTCTCTTGGTTTTGTTTATTTGTTCCTCTCAGTGTAGTGTGGCTGCTGCTACCCACCTGGCTAAAGATGAACCAATAAAAAAGGAGTTTCCAAACAGACCAAATGTACGCTTCGTGACTGAATGAGTGATGGAAGTATACGACACCTCTATGACCAATGATGGGCCAGTTTCTTAGAAAATGTGATATTACATACTGTGAAACTTATTTCCATTACCAACTACTCAACATTAAATTTACATTAATTTTATTATTCAGTCAAGTTTTGTCAAAATATGCCACTACAAGCAGCCAACGTACAACTTGGAGGTATTTACTGACCATCAACAGCTACATGTAGCTTAACTCAGGCTGAAGAAACACTTTGGAAAAGTGGAAACTATGGTCCAAAACATGTAGTAGACAATTACCGGCTACACTGCTCAGTGTATCCAACCCATGGTAAAATACAGCAAATAAAACACCTACAAAGGCTGGACAAACAACACAAAGGTTGTTTTCACTAACTCACACAGTTTCTTCTAAGTCTTTGACAGTCAGTAAGGAACATAAAGCTTACAATAACTAAATCACCACAAGTCCTGCAAGAATGCCAGAAGTCACGCGTTCTTGCTCCAAAAGACATAAATAGCAACAAGGGGTTTGCAGTGTTTATATTCAGTGCAATTTACACTGAAAAAGCTAAAAGGGAGGAGCTCCAAATTTGGGCAAGGCCCTGGATGGAATGAAGATAGTGTCACTGGTGTCACTCAGTTATCAAAAATGTTAATGTTCTCCTAATAAAAACAAGTGACAGTGACTGAAAATTCATCCAGGAGAGTTTCATGTTTATCCAAGCCTAAACGTGGCACCTACTGTATGCACTTGGGATGTTTCCTATCTGAACTTAACCCCACCCAGCTCATTACTTTGATCAAACTTAATTCAGTCCAAACCATCTTAAAACATTTCTAGAGTCCCAGTAATTAACTTAAAAAAAATTCAAAGGCTGTAACTAAATTGTCATATTTTGCTGACATTGTTAGAAATGATGACATCAACTGTGGTGAGATCTGAGTGAAGTCAAACAATGGTTTTATAAATGAGGCCCCCCTGGTACTCCACGCCCCTCACTTTACTCTGTTGGACCCATAAATAAGTAATCAAGGCTGGGTCAGTCTAATGGCTTCCTAGAGCACTGAATAGAGATGTGTGCATACGAGACACACACAAAAAAAGATGAAGAGAGAGGAAGAAAGCTACATTATTAGTTGAAGAGAAGTGAAACACTGTGTGTGGGTTTTTTTTTGTGTGTGTGCTGTTTGTGTGTGCATGTGCAGCCTTGGAGGAAGAAAATAAGCATAACCTTTATGTTCATCATCTCAAATCAAAGTACATTAAAGCAGAGCTCTTAGCATCTTCCAACCTTACACATTTCCCTCTGGATCCCATTTCCACACACACACACAAGCACACACACACACACACAGCGTTGACATACAGTATGTATTCTTGTGTACATACATCAGCAAACACACTCATGAAAGTGTACGTACACAAAAATAAACACACTTTCTTCATGCTCATCTATGACACACAAACACTCAGTAGACAGTGTGTGTGCTAAAAGTGTGATAGAGAGGATGAATAATGCATAGATGTTTCCATCCACAAGCTTTTACCAATAAACCCATTCACCAGCTACGGAGTCTGGATTTGTGAGACCTCTGTGGTCTGTCCTGTACACAGGAGGTCACAGGTTCAATTCCACTTACTGTGTGTAAGCATCCATGTTGCTGGATTATGTTTCTCTTTTCATTTACCTGCTCCAGTTTAACTGCTCTCCCTAGCCCTGACATCTGACCCCTCTAGTAAAATATAAAGTTTACGGTAACTGAAGCCAGAATTCAGCTGTAGGTAAGCGTGCATGTACGCTCATACAGGCATATAGCATACTGCATGTGTCCACTGGGGACAGTGTCACGTTGATCAAATCACGGTCTACTGAACGGTCTTGTGCTCCCCTCCAGTGATGAGACAGGCTGATGAGTAATGACACTTTCAGCCATGGCCTCTCACCCCTCTGTTGAAGCAGTGGCCATCAAGAGTTGAGAAGCCAGCTCCCGCCCTGCCCGATCGCCTGTCCCCGCTAACTCACGCATCCTCACTGTTGCTGTAGGTTTTCACCCAATGTCCATATGGTTGATCCTGGTCCTCTAGTACCGCTGAGGCACCTCACTGAGACACACCAGATAAGCCTCACACACTCAGTGCTATGGTATATAGGTGTCAGTGGGCCGGCACAAAACAGAGTATTGCAAAGCAGGTAAGAGGTCAGCACTGGCTGCAGAACAACAGTCCGAGAGGCTGGAAGAATTAAGCGTTTATCAAGGACACTTTGGTAGGATGAATGACTGCCAACACATTTCACCCTCACAAGCATGTTTATGCTGATAATTAGTGATGTAATATGAAGTAGCTGCGACTCAGCTGCTAATAGTTGAACAGCTGAAAACCACTGATCTGCTGTCGCTGAACAGTATAACCAAACAGCGTTATTTGCTGCGGGCGTTGTTGGATCTAGGGATGCAGCAATACCACTTTTTTCCACAGAGTACAAGTACTTACATCTGAGTACTCATACACGTACTAAATAATGTAAGTATAAATATTACAATTACCATAAAAGATGGTAAATGTTTAATTTAAGGGGGCATGTTCTTACTTTAAACTGGCTACTGTCTGTGGCTTCATCCTATCCTCTCTGCTGGACGCATTTTCCCTGCTCAGCCTCCAAGTCACACAAGAATTCAACTCATTTTCATACACAAATCTCATTACATTCTAACGTTAACTATATACAATTAGTGTTTGTTTTCTTCTCCTACACAACAATTTACTACAATCAGCATAACGAGCACCATTTGAGCTTAATGAGCGAATGGGATCAGGCATTTTGACCGAGTGGAGAGCGAAGATGTCGCATTTCTGCAAGATTGTTGTTGTGTTCAGCTTGTTCAACAGGTGTTTGATTAATTACTTCCTCCATTACTGTTTGACTTTGTTGCATGTTTCAAATGTTGACATTTCAGTAAAATACTGCATGACCTTGTGTCTGTGTGAGTCGGGGAGGGGGCGCTCTCTGACACACAGTAGAGCAGAGAACCAGAGCTCGCAGTCAGCTTTACTTTTGTAGTTGTTGTTTATCTTAAAATATCCTCAAACTGCTGAAATTTATTCTCTACTGCCTACTGACCTGCTCATCCTGCATGAGGTTAATGTAATATTGCTGTTAAGTGGTGTCTGATGCATAGTATCTGACAACTTTAACAACTACAAGTACTAGGGGTGGTATCAGGCCACTGGTATTGGTGCATGCATAACTGTATCAGTGGAAACACTGCAAACCTGTGTAAAGTCACAAGTGGAAAAAGTCCCACGTTTTACGACACAGGAAAATCGCAATGTGTCTGATGATCAGTGAAGAAAGGTAAAAACAAAGAAAGTGAGCAGTGGAGAGTCAAAGACTTGGACTTGCATACAGGAAACGTAGGAGAGAGAGAGAGAGAGATCAGGGAGCAAGGCAGGGCTTCACACAGCTGCAGGGATGGGGGAGGTTGGGAATGTTGTCTGCAGGGGTCAAAAGGTCAAGAGGGAGGTTTTAACTCACTTCCTGTTTCTGCTGCTGGGATGTCAAAACTTGTCCCTGCCTTCTGGAATTCACATCAATCTCTCCCTCACACTCATTTTGTGTCGTCCCATCCTGTCTTCAGGTTTTTTTCCATATTCTAGCAAATCACAAAGCTGCATTTCCATTCAGATATTCCCATGGAAATTATGACCAACCGAGTTAGAAGAGCTGAGAGGAGATGGCAGGAACTTAAATCCCCTTGCATTAGAAAGCTGATAATGACAGAGCTAATTCTGTTTCTGTACATAATTTTGTATATTTTATTTCTCTGAAAGCTCATTAAGTCATAAGAATGGAATTTTAAGGTCACTGAAACTTCATACAAGCTCTGTGTGACCAGCTGCATCTCTTTGTGGCCAACCAGGGCCTTTCTCTGTGGATCTTCCATGTTCTCCCTGTGCCAGGTACAATCCAAAGGCATGCAGGGTAGGTTAATTGGTGACTCTAAATTGCTGACAGTTGTGAATGCATGCCTATGTTTCAGCCCTGTGATAAACTGGCGCCCTATCCAGGGTGTAGCCCACATCTCATCCAGTGTCAAGCACCCTACACCCCTCTACAGAATAAGCAGTATTCAGGATGGATGAATGAAATGATGGGTGCATTTCTTTGTAAAACAACAACTAAAACCAACAGTAGTTCCTCAGTACTCTTCCTAACATTTGAGCATGTCTGTTACTGACCCTCAGTAACAGACTGCTCAAAAAACATAATGTCCTATCAGTGGTGCAGCTGTGTTCAGGACTAAGATAAACAATTTTGTTCAGGAATGTTCCCACCCATTTTATAAAAGGCTCACTTGAGACTGCTTTAGTTTGTTTTATTTGGTCAAGACAGTCAAGAGAAATACCGAAATATGGTGCGGCTCATTAAGACAAAGAACCCCAGTTAAACAACCGCAAAAACAAGGGTTTATGGGGCAGATGTTGACAAGCAATTTCATACTTGGAAAACAAACTGAGGGCAAACTTTACATTTTCTGTGCTGAATGTATTTTGACTCCTCCAGTGCCAAATAAATAAAATGCTTCTTAGTCCATGTGGCACTAATAGGACTGGACCCAGATATTCATTCCTTAGGGAGCTAATCTATTTTCAATTTTAGTATTTGAGACAGCAGGACATTTCAATCCAGTCTGAGCCTGATGATGGACAGGAAAGAGAACACAATAGAGACAGCTTGGTCTCCTAGATGGTACTTAACTGGACGCATTTGAAAACGCTGGAGCAAATCTCCAAATAAGCCTATGCAATACTCGGATAGACAGACCAGATATTCTAAATGTAAATGGTGACTTTCTTGCTTGAAAAAATATCAAAACTTAATAAAGTAGCATAAGACCAGTCCTAGGATGAAATACTCACAGATTCAATGTTCCTGAATCAATAAATCATAAACAAAATGTAGTTAAAACATAAATGACGCCTCATTCCCACCATAGTATGGCAGACAGAAAATGAGCTACAAGCTCATTTTAATCCAAATGAGCCGCTTGTGATGAAATAGCACCCTTCATGTGCACAAGTCATCAATATAAAAGACAAACACCCACAAGTACAC